TTCTGTGGCAGGGGAAGGGCGGGGAGGGGAAAGGAGGGGGGGGGGTAGGCAGGAAGAAACGGACGCGCTGCATGAAGTGAGGGGGCGGGAGGGAGTTGGTGGCAGGGTAGGGTAGCTCACGTCACCAATACACACACGTACACACCGAAGCACAAGCCGTGGCCACCGCGCTGACATGCGGTGCCACTCGCTCAGCCTCCACCATCATCTCCAGTTCCCTTGCCAAAACCCCTACCCAGACCCATGGGTCACCCATACCCACCTTCCACCCTCCCGGATCCCCCCCCCAAACACGCACACCCCATCTCCCCCACACCCACGATAAACGATACACGCACACGCACACCCACTCATCTTCCGGCAACAACAGTATTTCCCCTTCTAGCTGCCAGTTTCCCCAACACACACTCACGATGAGCAGCTTGCTGATGAGGTCCTGCGCCCAGGGCCCCATGTGTTCCGGCAGCGTGTACTGCCCCTCCATGATGCGCGCGTAGGTGCCGTGCGCGTTGCCGGTGTAGAAGGGCGGGAAGCCGTGAAGCATCTCGTAGATCACACAGCCCAGCGACCACCAGTCCACGGCCGGGGTGTGGCCCTGGGGGAGAGGGAGGGAGTGTACGGAAGGTTCGTACGGAAGGGGGGTTAAGCGGTTGAGGGGTGGCAAGGCATGGGGCGGAGCGCGTGCAGCTGGTTGCCTCCTGCCGCCGCATCTAAGTGTGTATCGCCTGGACCTAACCCTGCCCTAAGTTCATCACCACGCGGCACGGTTTGGTACCTTTCTCCCCCCGAACCAACTCCGAACCCCCCAAAACTCAGTCCGTCAGTGTCCTTAACTTTCTACCCCCATGCCCTCCCCCCCCTCCCCCCCCCTCCCCCCCCTCCCCCCTCCCCCCCCTCCCCCCCCCTCCCCCCCCCTCCCCCCCCCTCCCCCCCCTCCCCTCCCTCCCCTCCCTCCCCTCCCTCCCCTCCCTCCCCCCCCTCCCCGCCAAACCTCACCACTCCGCTGATCACCTCCGGCGCCAGGTAGTCGGGAGTGCCGCACATGGTGTAGCTGCGCCCCTTGATTTGCTTGGCGAACCCCAGATCCGTCAGCCGCACGTAGCCGTCCGCGCCGATCAGCAGGTTCTCAGGCTGGGGGGTAGCAGAGGGAGGGAAAAAGGGAAAGGGTGGTAGCAGTAGGTTGGTAGACAGATAGGTAGGTAGGTAGGTAGTGGCAGGGAGGGAGAAAGGGAAAGGGAGCGGGAGCGGGAGGAGCGTGGGCGCAAGGGACAAGGAGAGGGAGAGGGCAGAGGTGTGTTCATCTCTTAGCCAGGAACGCGAATGAGCGAATTAGAGTACCAGGGTTAGCACGGGAGGAACGGATTGGGAGCAGTCTCCTCCTCCTCTCGGCTTTTCCCCTGTACTAACCCCACTCCGCACGCCGACACCTTTACCCGCACTCCACCCAATGCACCCCGCATCCCCCGCGCATTCCGCACCCTACCCCACCGCCACCCCACCCCAACCCACCCACCCCCATCCCTGCCGTACCTTGAGGTCCCGGTACGCGATGCCCCACGCGTGCAGGTGCTCCAGCGCCAGCACGATCTGCGCGGTGTAGAAGCGCGCGTGCTCCTCGGGGATGCGTCCGTGGTCGCGCATGTGGGTGAAGAACTCACCACCCGCCACATAGTCCATAACCAGGTAGAGGTTGTCGATGTCCTGGATGTGGAGGGGAGGGGAGGAGGGGTGAGGGGAGGGGTGAGGAGGGGTGAGGAGGGGAGGAAGGTTGGGGGAGGTGGAGGGTGGTAGGCCCGTCAAGCCACGCATGCATGCAACGTGCGCCTCCTCGTTCGCGCCTTCCGTTCGCGCGGCGGGATCATTGGAATCTTTCCTCGGCCAACAATCAATGGAAGCACGCATGCATGCTCCTCAGTCAGCAGCCATGGCCATGCAGGTCAGCAGCTGGCCAAACACGCGCACACCTGGAATGTTGTGAGGAGGTTGATGATGAAGGGGTGCCCAGCCACCTTGCCCAGCATCCGTCGCTCGTCCAGCACGTGAGATACCTGTAGTACGACAGTTAGTTGGTTAGTTGGTTGCGGTTGTTACAGGTCTCTCTCTGTCTCTAAATCTCTGTATAAATCCCTGTCTAAGCCTCGAACCGGCAGTCCAAACGTCATGCAACAGCAGTCTCAACGCACGTGCCGTAAGTGTGTGTATGCATGCAGCCACCCCCGCCCTTCACGCCCCCTCCCCCTTGTGAGATGGGGATGATACCGGTATGCCGTACAACCCATGCCCCCTACATTCACGTACGACACGCACGCACACACACACACACACGTACCTGGTTCTCCCGGATGACGGCCTTCTTGTTGAGTGTCTTGATGGCGACCACCCTGCCGCTCTCCTGGTGCCGTGCTAGCGACACGCGGCCGAAGCTGCCGGCGCCGATGATTCGGATCCAGGTATAGTCGTACTTGCTGGGCGTGCGGGGGCGCGGAGCGGGTGAGGCGGGCTGGGTGGCAGAGGAGACGGTGGAGCATGTGCTGTCTAGCCGCTGTGCGAAGGGAGGAGGAGGGAGGGAGGAGGAAGGAGAGGTTGCGGTTGATTGGGTAGCGGTTGGGTTGGTAACGTGGTTCGGTGGTGATTGGGGGATGATGCAGAGGAGGTTTGGGTGACGGTTGGGAGGGCAGTGGGGCCTGCTGTCGTCTCAGACGAGTTGGTTGAAATTGTTATTAGGCATGAGCGTTTGAAGGTTGGAAGGATGAGGCGAGGTGGATCCGATCGTGATGATGGTGCGTTAGCAGCAAGCTTAGCGGGACAGGATAAGGAACGCGCAAAAGGCGCTTCAAAAGGCAATTCAAGGTAGGCCTTCTCGGGCCCATACGCACGTTCCTCTGCAGCCCAATGCATGTGAAAATTTGAATGTAACGCTAGCGTTTACACGCAGTGCTGCTAAGCATGCAGCGTATCGGTCAATCTTTTTTCGTCGGTCGGTCGGCCGATGCAATGGTTGCGAGCAATGTCGCCCATCCTCGGCACGAGCTTCGCACCTTTGCTGCTACCGCATGTGGCCCTTCCAATCCTGATACTATTTGTACCTTGACCGTCGCATCGGCTCCCTGATGTTTGCCCGGGCAATGCAGAGGGAAAGTGCCGATTGGCTGTAGGCCCACGAAGCGTCAGGTCACGTCAGAAGCAAAGCGTCTTACCTCTGGCAGGTTATTCTTTCGTCTAAGCTCCGTTAGCACTGTATGCTTCCATCCGCCTTTGTCGCCAGCAGCATTGGCTGGAGAAGCTAACGGCACAGGGCCACTGCTGGTGCTGCAGCATGACTCCATGGCGCGGAGCAATCGTGCACGCTTGGGCGGAAATGACCGCGTACACACACTAGGCGTGGGAAATCGCGATGCTTTATCAGAACAGAGCTCTACAGAGCTTGAGGGCGCGCCACGGGTGTCAATCAGAGAGTTGGCGAAAGGAAGGCGGTTTTCGCGGTTGCAAGCTGCGACGTGTGATGTGGCACAAACTAAAGCTATCGTCTGTATCTAATTAACCTAAAGTACTTAGTGAACCTAAAAACAATGTGAGCAGGAAGCCGAGGCCAGCATAGGTGCAGGCGACTGTTCAGGCCCGTACGGAGTGTCGCTTCGGCAGTGGAGGTCGAAAGGACAGCCGTCGCGATTTGCACGGGACGCGCGAAAAGCTGAACTAAGCTAAACCAAAGAATATAGGTTTCATTAAATGGCTTTGGTGTTCGGTCCTCGGACTGGAACAAGTTTGCGAAGCGCGACCGGCTTAGCGGTGCTATCCTTTCATCCTTCAAAAGCTTGGACCGCGCCATCACAAGGCTCGATTGCTTAATTCCAATGTACTGCAACTATGGAAGACAACTGCATCGTTGAAGGCCGAAGCCTCACCGGACCGCCCGAACCAGGCCGACGCGACCGAGCCTGTCGAGCCCGACCGAAAGCGTAGGAACTTTGGGGCAGCCCACGGCTACGCCCGATGATGTAACACGTGACATCCTTTTCTGCTCGACAATTTTTGCGTGCATCGTTTGGCTTGCCTTGCGGTGCGCTGCTTTCCGTTTCTGCTGCAGTTGCTCGCCCGTTATTACTCATCACCATCCGGCCCGCTTCTAGACAGCAAGGGAAACTGAATACCAATCCAAGCTCCGTTGACCCTACACGTTGGAAACAGTATTTAATAATTTGGCGTGCATGCTCCAGGATCCTCTGCACACGTCTGTTATCGCCTGCTGCCTTCACGCAAAGGTCCCGACGACGGCGAATATTATGCTATCACCCCGCCTCGGCCCTTCTTATCGAAAATTGACCAGCTTACAACCTTCTCGAGCAAGTCTTTCAATTTGTAGCTTCTCATCCGTTCGCGGTTGCGCCAAACGCCGTGTTTCCCACTAGCAAACAGGCAGGATACGATCGGCAAAGGCAAAGTCGCCCTTTCTGCTGGCTTGCGCTGAACGCACGCTGTGTCCAGGTACCACACTGCCTTGACACGTGCCTGCACGCTTGGGAAGAAGGCTATCCCAATCGCACGCACGAAAAACCTGGGTCACAAGGATACTAATCAAACTGCGCGAAACACCTCGCGCTGTAGTGTCTCACCAGCTATTGGCAACAAGGCCCCCGCCCGCCCTGTCTGACACCACCAACACGCCGGCCATACGTCCCCCCTCGCAGCACCAGCAGCAGCACCAGCAGCACCTGTTTCCTCCACTCGTCCACTGCTCGCCACCTGCTTGCCTGCACAGCCCTCCCAAGACTGTCGGCCCAGGTCGGGTCTCAAGTCCGGCCCGAACCATGGGCCACCCCACACCCACCCACCCAACCACCCACCCAGCATTCCCCCACCGTACGCAACGAACTAACGAATGCACTTAATATTTCGATCTGATTTCATTTGATTCCATTTTCCGGTCGCAGCCGAAGTCGCACCCCACACCTCCTCCCTACCGGCTTACGCCCCCTACCCCACCCCAACAAGTCCGCCCTCCCATGCATCTCTTCCTCCTCCACCCCTTAGCTCTTCCACCGGCACACTATCGCCCCCGGTACGCCCTGTCCCTGTCCCCATACGCCTCATACATTCCACCCCCCATCACCACCTCAAACTGCTGCTGCTGCTGCTGCTGCTCCTGCTCCTGCTGCAATCGATACTGTCTTTGTAATTGCTGCTGCTGGTACTGCTGTTGCTGCTGGTACTGCATTTGCTGCTGCTGCTGCTGTTGGTTGCGCTCCAGGGACGCCAGCAGCTGCCCGGGCTGCCTCCGCGCCCCCTCCACCAGCGCCTGCTGGTGCTGCAGCCAGCGGTGCTGAGCCTCGGAGGCGGCCTGGGGGCCGGGGGGGTGGCGGGGCGGGAGAGGGAGGGGCGGGGGGGAGGGAGGGGAAAGGAAAGGAAAAGTGAAGTAACGAAGTCCCAATCCTAAATCCCGATGGAGGAGGAGCGGGCGGGAGGGAGGAGAGGAAGGGGAGGAGAGGAGAGGACGTAAAGCGGTAACGGAAGATGCGAAATGGGGCCATCCCGGCACCCGCCCACCCACCCACCCACCCAGATCCCAACCCGACTCAACCCTGCCCATGCAACCCATGTTGACGCCTTACCCCTCAGTCAGTTAGTTGTTTCCTCTTTACTCCCCACCCCACCACACCACACCCACCACACCCGCCCGCCCGCCCGCCCTACCTTAGCGCTCCGGGCTGCCTGCACCGACTGCTCTGCGGCCGCCAGCAGCTGCGCGTGCTGCCGCTGCACCTCCCCCGCGCGACTGCGGATGCGCGCCAGGAAGCGCACGTCGGAGGCCAGCTGCGGCAGGGAGGGGGGGAAGGAGGGGAGGGGTGTCAAAGACCATACCGAACCATAGGAGGAGGCGAGGAGTGGGGAGGGGCAGCTGCCACCACTGCCCCCGCTACCACCACTGCCCCCGCCACCGCTGCCGCACCCCCCCCCCACACACACACACTCCCCTGCCCCCCTCCTCCCTCCTTCCCCCCACCTGCGCCTCCCTCTTCCGCCGCTCCGCCTCCGCCCGCTGCTGCTGCCGCGACCCCACCGAACTCGTCACCGAGGAGCCGCCCGGCGACACATCCCGACTGCCACCACCTCCACTTCCACCCCCTGCAGCAGCAGCAGAAGCAGCCACCCCTCCTTCGCGACTGCTGCTATGGCCGCGAGCTCCGCCACCGCCACCGCCACCGCTGCTGTGTCTCCTAGCTGCGTCGGCGGCAGCGGCAGCAGAGACAGCGGCAGCGGAGGCAGCGGAGGCCGGGCCGGACCCCGCGGAGGGGTGCAGGGAGCGCGCTGAGGCCCTCCGAGTGGGGTGGGCGCCGCCGTCGTGGTGGCTGCCTGCTCCGGGAGGCGAGGGGTGCGAGGGGTGATGCGCTGCGGAGGAGGAGGGGGCGGCAGAGGAGGAGGAGGAGGAGGGAGAGCGGGCAGGGTGGGCGGGGGCGGTGCCTGCGGTGTTGGCGTGGGCGGGTAGGGCGGGTAGGGTGGGTAGGGTGGGTAGGGTGGGTAGGGTGGGTAGGGTGGGTAGGGTGGGTAGGGTGGGTAGGGTGGGTAGGGTGGGTAGGGTGGGTAGGGCGGGTAGGGCGGGTAGGGTGGGTAGGGTGGGTAGGGTGGGTAGGGTGGGTAGGGTGGGTAGGGTGGGTAGGGTGGGTAGGGGTGGGTAGGGTGGGTAGGGTGGGTAGGGTGGGTAGGGTGGGTAGGGTGGGTAGGGTGGGTAGGGTGGGTAGGGGTAGGGTGGGTAGGGTGGGTAGGGTGGGTAGGGTGGGTAGGGTGGGTAGGGTGGTAGGGGGTAGGGTGGGTAGGGTGGTAGGGTGGGTAGGGCGGGTGTGCAGGGGGGGAACGAAGGCCACATGCGTGTTGCATGCAAGGCGGCGCTGGCGAGGCAGCCGGTGCGCAGCGGTGGTGCATCCATCCATCCACGAAGCCATCCGGCCGGCCGGCTCGCAAACAACAACCCAATCCCCCCATCCCCCGGGGGCCGGCCACCATGTTTGCACCCCCCATGGTGAAGCCTACATGTCATACAGCTCGTCAGGTTCCTTACTTTGACCCCTTCCAAGTCCTCCCCACCCACCCACCTCTCCTGCCGGTAGCGCTGCCCGCCCCCCACGCCGCCCGCACCAGCACCGCAAGCGGCGGCAACTGCTGCTGCTGCTGCTGGGGAGAGGCTGGGGAGCCCCCTGCCGCCGCCGCCGGTCATCATGGTGCTGGTGCTGCTGGTCGCTCCCATGAGGCCCGAAGAGAAGGGAGCCCCGGCGGCTGCTGCTGCTGCTGCCTGCCGGCACCGCCGCCCGGAGCAGCCTGTCTGGGGGTCCCGCCGGGCGCCCGATGCTGGTGCTGCTGGTGCTGGTGCGGATAGTGTCCGTGGCCATGACTCTGGTAGGAGTAGGGTTGCTGGTGCTGGTGGTGTTGCTGTCGCTGATGCTGGTGATGGGGTGCATGCCGGTGGCTGCCGCTGCTGCTGCTGCTCGCCCGCTCCAAAGGTGGCAGCTGCTGCTGCGGCCGCATCGAGCTCCTCCCGAGCCATGGCAATAACGTTGAGGGTGTCCTGTCGGGGTGGGGGGTGGTGGATGGGGGCGGGGCGGGGAGCGGTGGGGGGACCGGAAAGGCGGGGTGCTGACAAGGATGATGCCTTACCTGGCATGAGGGCATGCGGGCTGCAGGTCCCACAACGTCTCCGCAGCAAAGAGAGCGGCACGTGCCAACAGACCGATCCCATTTCCAACTCCCACTCCACCCCCACCCCCCCACCCCCACCCCACCTCCAGCGCATCCAGCAGCTCCGGCGGGATGCGCTGTGCGGTGGCCGCCTCGATGGCGTCCAGCGGGGTGGTCGGGGGGCAGCGAGGCACACTCGCGGATGAGCCCCTCGATCTCGGCCAGCAGCGCCAGGGACTGCTCCAGAACCTGGGATGCAGGGGGGGGGCGGGAAGGGGGCAGGGAGGGTAAGGGGTATAGGAGGAAGGTTACGGGAGGTGGGAGGAGAAGGGAAGCAGCAGCAGCAGCGAGGAAGTAGCAGTAGCAGCGTGCAGAAGTGAAAACAACAGCAGCTAGCAGTACCCGCCACCCCCACCCACCACCCACCACTGCGGGATCCTCCTCCTCAAACAGCTCCTCACGTCGACGACTACGAGGCGCACCGCCTGCCCCACCTCCCTGTCCCGGCAGTAGCACCGCCTCCGCCTCTCCGTTCGCCCATCCGGCCTCCTGCACCCCCACCTCCACCCCACCACCACCCCCACCACCACCCCCACCACCACCACCAGCCCCCCAGGCACCACTACTAGCGGAGCTCCGGCGGGATCCAGCGGCGACCCCGCCGGGCAGCAGCAGCAGTGGCAG